GTGTTTCTTGCAAGAGACTTGAAGGCTTTTTATCCTGATTGAAAATTTCTTTACATAAACAGCAAGCAAACATGACACTTTTTTAGTGGAGACTTTTTTTTTTTTTTTTTCACTTAAACAGGAAGACAGCATATTCTTTCTGCATGGAGACCAAGGTCTTTTAAATAGCTGATTTACGCAAAAGCTTCACTAATTTATAGTCACGGCTGATATACTTGCTTTGTGGGGTTGACACACCGAACCTAACTGAATACTGTTCCATTAACAAAACTACTGTATTATGTCTAAAGCACTAGTGATTAACCTTTAAAACTTTGGTTTTGAACAACCCTTGTTTTAAACCTTTAAGTGTTACAGTGGTGCTATCTTCTGTTAGCATTTTTTTTCTTTTCTAGCTCTTTCTAGACTAACTGGATAATTGAAGTAATTCACTTTCCCCCTTTCAAGATGGTTTGGTTTTACATGAGAGATTAATAGGTACTTTTATAATTGTTCTTTGGTTCAAATCAGGCTGTTCTTGCCACCCTCTTCCTTTCCCAGATCTGTACTAAGGAAGCTGCTGATATACACGTGTGGCCACAATGCAGTGAGATGTTGTGTGTGCTTGCCTTGTGTAAACACAGAAGGAATGATCATCATGGTGCCTTAGAGAACTTTGTATTTGTCCTTTTCCTAGTGGCACCTGCATCAACTCTTTTATGACCCAACCTTGTTCTGAGCTGCAGTTCGCCTGGTTTGCCTTTCTCCCAGGTTAACGAATGCTGCTGCTGAGAAGCACATATCTGCTGGTATGGCACTACAGCAGTTTCAGAATATGATGCCTTGTCCTTCTAGTGGCCTGGGCTGCACGTGCTCCCAGCCCTTAGTGGACATTTCAAACCTTTTCAGTCTCTTCAAACCCATAAATATAAATATGTAAAATATCTGTCCCATAGGAGGCACTTATTAAATATTTGCACCTTTCCCATCCTTTTTTTTAGCAGTCTCATTAAAGTACTCCTCTTGCTATCTATCATATCTATCATGTATCTATCTATCTATCATCATAATCTTGTATCTATAGCTATGTATCTATCATCTATCTTACCTATCATCCATCTATCTATCTATCTATCATCTATCTATCTATCTATCTATCATTTATCTATCTCTGTCTATTTTTTCCAAGTCAGAAGGATTTGACCGTTATGAAAGAAGAAAGGAAAAGAGTTAATTGTTAGGCAGGCAGCACTGTTTTTAGTCTTGGACTTTAAACATTATAGGCCAACCACAGCATCATTTGAAAAAATACCCTTTGGCTCTGTCACTGTGTTTAAACTGTACTAAAGATGATCTAAGACCAAGTACACACATTAAAAATCCCAGGTAACCTTTATTTGAATATTTCACAAAAAAAGTTACAAATTTCTTTGCAACTACATAATAAATCAAATTTACAGCTCAGTAACTGTAAGCAATTCAGCAACTAGGGCCCAAAGAACTGCATCTGCAGTAGAATTAAATATTTAAAAATGATAATCCTTTATCCCTTTGGAGTGTTCATGAAAAAAAATTCACTCAAAATTTCTAAACATTTTTATCGTGGGGTAATAATATCTTTATCTTGGTG